TGATACATGTGTCTGGTCGAGTGTCCAAACACCGGGCCTTGGAAGCAAGCGGTGACAAACATACCCAAGTAAGGTGTCTCGGAATAAGATTAGCCGCTACCCGTATACTGCACGTCGTCGGTCAAGACCCTCACGCCCCCAGGGAAACCCGTGGTTTTCACAGTGGTACGGCCCATCGGCGCTTGCGCGGCTCAGTGCATTGAGCATCTTGGCGTCAGACACGCCCAGCAAAAGCAACACAATGAGGGGCAAGATCCCCACTGCCCAGCCGAGTGACATCTTCACGCCGATTGCCAATCCAATCTTGTTCATCGGTGTTGCAAGACTGCCCGTGCGTGGTTCGTAATATAGCCTGCCCGTGCCCGATCACAGTATCAAGGTTCGTGCTACGCTACCCCACCTCCCCAAACCACAGTCAATACCCCTAATAAGCACTTAAGCTACCCCCAGTGTTATCCATAGCCGCGAAGCCTCGGTTTCATTCTAGAGGGGTGGATTCCACCACATAACCCCCCCAGTGTTATGGTAGCACACCACATGCGTAAATTAATTCCCGCGGGGTGGGGTGGGGGGGGGCGGGATCGTGGCCCTGGGAGTGTGCAAACACAGTCATTCCCATGGATCGTGGCCATGGGATTGCGGGCGCCGTGCAATGTGCAAGGGCCGCGTTTTGGGCGTAGCGTAATATCCGTTAGAGATTTAGGCCTTCAACGGTACAAGGTCAGATGCGAGATGCCAGGTGAACAGCATCCTTACGAAGATGAAGATGAGGAGCCCCTGCCAAACCATGAAGTTGAGACATACCAAGTCTTAGCGGCCAAGAATAACTATCTAGCACAAGACCGCTCAGATTTATAATTCTCAGTCACGGAGCTCGCGCGCACTATTTCAGCCCCATCCTGACGGGCATGGAACAACATTTCACAACATGGGGCGCGTACCTCATTAACAACGTCAGGTGTGGGAACCCGTATGTGTAGCAAGAACGCCGGAATGAGTTAGCCGTATGGATTGATATCGGTTGCAAGAACACACGTAAGCCGACAAGCGGAGGAACAACGATGTTGGGACAACATTTGATGCAGTAGCGCTGCATTCTGGAGAAGCAGAGTATTGCGGAATGGTAAAAGGTGGTTCAGTAGCATTAGGACTACAAGCAATTCTAAAGGTTTCTGAAGTTGTTTGCAAGAGCGATGCCACTGCAGCCATTGCCATTGATAGCAGGCGAGGCGTAGGGCAAGTCAGGCATATCGAAGTGTGTCAACTTTGGTGGCGAGAAATCGCGACGAGGAGACATCCGAGTAATAAAGGTAGGAGTTCCTGAGAACCTTGTAGATGCTTTCAGTAAATACGTCAGCAATGACAGCATGGCCATGCATATGCGTGGTACCAACCAACACACTGTTGAAGGAAATACCCAGCAGACACCCGCTTCGGAGTGTTAGCTAAATTCAGATATGGAGTATCATCGCGCGTCGCCTTGCCGGAGACTTGAGCTCGATATCCGTTTAGGCCCAGGTGCCTACCTACGACATCAAAATGTTTGATTACAAAGCATTCGAACATTTTGCGTGATGTGGGAAAAAAACAACTGTCGCGTGTTCAGGATACCCAGTTCACGCTTCACGCCCAAATCACAGTTGCCTCTTGCTAGCGCTGGTTAAAATTTTGATGAATTTAGTTTTGCGTCTTGGCTTGCTTAGATCGGGTCCTGGCTTCGTTGCGTTGCTGACCTCTTTGGTCTGGTTTGCACTGAACAGCACGTTTACATATACTCCTTTAGTCATGTGCGCACTGCGCGTCATTCACTTAGGCTGCTTTGCTGTTAACCCAGCTGTCTCATGCTGGCCTGTTGCATCAGGAATCGTCTTGGAGCTTTGCTTGCTCCGGTGCATCTATTGGCCGTGTGGCCGAGGGGGAGGCGCATGAATTATGAACCTCAGCGCATGGAGCAGCATGGCAATGTCAGCAACAGTTAAGCGGCAGGCTGATGCTAGGATTCTTGGGCGCTTGATGTTGCCCCCGCCCACGTCGTTCAAGTACTGTTGCCCTCCAGGGAAAAACCGTCCATCATATTTTCAGGAGGATGGGGAGAATGAGGAAGGGGAGGACGACGAGGAGAGGGAGGAGGACGAGGGCGGACGGAATAAGGAGGCCGAGGGCGAGGATGGAACTGCAACCCCATAGTCAGCCGCCGCCTCTTTCTTTTCGCAACAGAGCTGCCAGATCGCGCAATGACGGGCTAAGAGGCTTCCGGGAGGCCCAAAAAGGACCAACCATCATGTTCCCGGAGAGCGTTCTGGGGACACGATCGCCGCTGCCAGTACGAGGGTGAGGTTGGGGGGGGGGGGCGTGATAAGAACGATGGAAAACAGAAAGAATCGGAAGGCGGAAACAGGGGATGAGGATGAACATGCGGGGGAGGAAGGGGAGCAGGAGGAGGAGGAGGAGGAGGAGGAGGAGGATGGCGGTCGGAATGAGGAGGCCGATGACGAGGACTTTCGCGCAACTCTTACTCAGTTGCTGTTCCTCCTTCCTTGTTTCTTGTGTTCCTTTTTTTTCCAGATCGCGCGAAAACGGGCCAGGCGTGGAGGCAAGGAATGAGGATTACACATGAGGATCACAAAGAAATGGAGAAGGAGGATCATGATCATGATCCAGATCACGGGACAAAGCCAACGTACATGACAACAGTTTAAAATGCATCTCGGTCTTTTGCCGTCAAGCATAAAGCAGTCATAATGGAATTCAAATGACATCAAAGCGATTGACACGCAAGAATACGACATTTGGGCGATGTAACACTCTGACTATATGACATGCCGAGGTGCCATATCACAATTGGCATCACGAATGCCGACAAGTCCGTTGTGATATTGTGGAAAGAATGGGTTTACGGCTAAGCGTCTACCGACCTGACGACAACAACAGAAAGTTGAAGGTTGAGATGTGGCTTCGAAGCTGGCGGCACGGCCAATTCCACAATCCACCCATTGTCATCACTCCGATAAGTTTTTTTGCAATGTGACATCGAAGTTCAACATTACTTACAGTGGTCTGAATCCGCAGGCTGGACGGACGGAGGAGGAGGAGCAGGAGGAGGAGAAGGAGGATGGGGACAGACGGAATGAGGAAACCGAAGGATGGAATCGCGACCCCAACTCAGCCGCTGATCGCCCCCCCTTCCGTTCTTCCCAGATAGTACAACAGTGGGCTCCTAGAGGACCCCAACACGGACGAAACCATCTCTGGGAACATGATTGCGGCCGCCAGTCCTAGGAGGAGGACAATGAGGACGAATTGGGGAGGGAAGCGACAATGGCGATGGCAGGCGATGGGGATGATGATGAGGATGGCAATGAGGAGGAAGAGGAGCCTAAGGAAGAGGAGGAGGAAGAGGAAGCGGGTGGACGGAATGAGGAGGATGAGGGCGAATGTGGAAGCGCAACCCATACTCAGCTTTTGCCCCCTCCTTCCGTTATGCCCACATCGCGCGAAATCGGTTGACGAAGCTGTCAACGGGGGGCACCAACACGGCCAAACCACCATTTTCCCGGAGAGCCTTCTTGGAACGTGATTGTCGCCGCCAGTGCGAGGAGGAACGGAGGAGGAGGAGGAGGAGGAGGAAGAAGAGGGAAACGGAGGGCGGAGGCATGCGATGAGGAAGATAATATGGATGCCGAATGGAGGAGGAGGAGGAGGAGGAAAAGGAGGACGAGGAGGAGGAAGAGGAGGAGGGGGAGAAGAGGGAGGAGGAGGAGGAGGAAGAGGAGGAGGAGGAGGAGGAGGAGGAGGAGAACACCTTGCCGCTGCTGCCGTCGGTGCTCCGGCTCGTTGCCCCACCTCCACCTGTCTTGGTGAACGTCCCTCACCAAACGGTGGCCGCATCAAGAGTGGCTCGTCCAAGGGGGAGTACGGTTGTCCCCGGGTTCCAATCGCCAGGCCAACCAACGACGCTCGAGAACGAGTAAGTTTACGCACTGCCGCTGCCGAACTGATAATTCGCCCTTGTCGCAGCCTCCGAGAATTACTCATTCCGTCGGCTCGTTCTGTCCTGACGCTGTGCGCACTGTCCAGACATGACAGGGCGGTTCCAGGCTGGTGCTTCCCATGCGCTGACCATGCCGATCGAAAAATGGCGTGGCAGGTTGTGTTGCGGTGACTTCAGCCAAAGTGGTTACGGAAGACGAGGGGGAAGAGGATGGGGAGGAGGAGGAGGAGCAGGAGGAGGGAATGATGATGATGATGATGATGATGATGACGACGATGATGATGATGACGATGATGATGATGATGATGATGATGATGATGATGATGTTGATGATGATGATGATGACGAGGATGATGATACTGATAATGATGATGATGGTGATGATGATGCTGATGCTGATGCTGATGATGATGATGATAATGATGGTGACGATGACGATGACGATCATGATGATAATGATGATGATGAGGATGATGATGATGATGATGATGATGATGATGATGATGATGATGGTGGTGATGGTGATGATGATGATGCTGATGCTGATGCTGATGATGGTGATGATGATGATGAGGAGGATGATGATGACGCCAATGGTCTTTTCTATTGAAGTTGAATGCCTTTAGAGGGGGAGAGACGCCGAAGCTTTGCTTTCCGCAGTCTTCGGCTCTCGAGCTTGTACGGTTTGGTGGGGCCTCCCGGAGGGCTTGCTTTGGAGGCGCGATCGCTGCGGCGCTCCCGCGCTGCAGGCGTGAGTCGCGTGCTGCCCCGCTTTTGACGTGCCGCCGTGCCTCTCGTGCCATGTCTGCCCGCCGTGTCCTGGGGCTACCGTGGACGCGACCGCTGGCGCAGTCACCTTGGCCTACCACGCGGCGGGCGTGGCCGGAGCCTCCTTCAGCGCGCTGGTAGCCATCGGAGAGCGGCGGGTCTGGGGGCCGCTGCTTTTCTCGGCGGAGGCACGGGGCCCAGCGACGCCGGCTGGGGCATGGCTGGCAGAGGCGCCGAGCAGGCCGCACGCGCGTCTGCCTCTGGCAGCGGCTGGCGATGTGCAACGTGGCCAGCGGGCCGCTCTTCCACCAGAGAGGGATGGCGGGCCAATTGACATTCACAGAGGATGTCACCATCAGGACGCCCGATGGCTTGGTCTACGACGAAAGGCTGCTGGCGGCATGGCCCGACACGACAGCGGTGGGCTTCTCGGCGGCGCATTGCCTCCTCAGGCTGGGATCGCGGCCGCCGGCACGTGCCGGTTCGGGGGCGCCCCATCGGCCGCCCGCGGGGCCGCGGGGCTCGCCGCCGCCTTCGCCCAGGCGGACGCCGCCTTCACCCGCCGCCTCCTTGGGGCGCCTGTTCCGCCCGGAAGCACGCTCCTGCCCATGAGCGGGGGGCGGCGACCTGGGGCGAGGCCCCCCGCTGCTGCGGGCGGGCCGCTGGTGGGGGCCGCCGTTGCTCCTGATGCCGTTGGTGCCGCGCGGGTCGCCGCGGGACCCGTCTGCCCAGCCGCGGGAGCCGCCGCGGGGCCGCCCCACCTCGGGGTGCTGCCGGCCCCCGCGCTGGCTGCCCCCGCGGCTGGCGCGCCGATGGCCGCAGGGGCCCCGCCCGCCTTTGGCTCTCCTGCTGGCCCTGGCTGGAAGGAGGACGGCGGCACCCCTCTTGGGGCGAACGGCAAGGCGCCGCCCAGTTCGGCCTGGGTGCTCGCGCAGGACGAGGACTCGCTGCCCTTCGGCTGGGTCGTGAAGGGCCGTTCACGGGCCTCGCGTTGGCGTCGCGGGCTGGCGAAGGGCAGTCGTTACGCTCGCTGGCGGCATCTCGGCCGTGGCCTGGAGGACTGGCGCCGGGGCAGCTTCCCCGCGAAGTGGCGTGGGTCTGACGCTCGGACTCTGGCTCGCGTCCCTGTCAGTGGCGCCCAGCGCAGCTGGCCCTCAGTGACCGAGTCCGCGCGAGAGGTGCACGATTCCGATTTCGTTCTCATGTCGCGATCAGCCGCCTGATGCGTGACCTGGCTGCTTCGCGAGGTCGGACTTGTTCGGCGCCGCGAGAATTGAAAGGCGCACAAACGGCTCAGCGCATCTAATTACGGGCTGCCCCAGCATCACTCCTTTAGTATGGCGGTCGAGGATCTGGCGACGTTCGACGAGGTTGACGTGGCGAACCTCGTTGGAGCGGAGCGGCTGGTCAGGAAGACGCAGCGGATCGGGCACTTCTGGGAGGGCCAGCAGCGGGGGCAGGACTCTCCCCAGCAGAGGCTGTCGCAGGAAGAGGTCGGCGCCTTCATGGGCGGCACGGGAGCTAGCAGCCGCCCGAGCTGCACGGCGCGCCCTGTCTTTCTCGACGCAGTTGGGAAGGGGCTCGAGAGCGTCAGCCATCTCAGGGAGAACGCCCGCGCGCGGCGGGAAGAGGCGAAGGCTGCCTCCAGGGCCAAGGCCGTAGGCGGGAAGCCATGATGTCATCATGCCTGGGGGTCTCCTGCCCCCCCCCCCCCCCCTGGGCGACGCGGGGTCTGGGCTTTCCTCGGCGGCCAACTGCGACGTCGAGGATGTGCGTGGCAGCCGCGGCGGCGTGGGCGCGGAGCGGCAGCGGGGCCTCTCCCCGCTGCCCGTGCCCGCCGTAGCTGACCCCGGCAGGCTGGCCGGCACGAGCTCGCGCGGCGCGGGGAGACGCGCGCGGCGGGCGGCATATGCCATATGCACCGCGGCTTGTCGGCAGGCGGTGGAGTCGCTCGGCGGTTTCAGTGGCGCTGGGGGCGCGGCTCGGGACTGCCAGACGACGCGACCTTGGCGCAGCAGCTTTGCCTGGCGCGCGTTGCCGAGTCCGTCTCGCCGCTGCCCCCCCCGGGCGATCTCCAGCCTTTGGCGGCCCTCCAGGAGCTCCAGGCTGCTCTATCTTACAACGGCTTGCTGTCGACCAAGACGGAGGCTATGGACGTTCCCCGGCTCTCGCTGCCACCTTCAGGTAATCGTCGCGCGGTTCTGGAGCGGCCGCTGGGCCCCGAGGTGTTTGACTGCGTCTATCGCGATATTTCAAGCGAGGTCTTGCCAAATACGGAAGTCGCGCAGCAGAAAGTGGACGCCGGCTTCCAGAAGCCCTACGTGGACCCCGTTCTTCGCGACCGCCGTCGGCACGCAGCCCTTGTTTTGCGCGTGCTCGACGATGGAGCCATCGATCTTGTCAGCGACCCCGGCGCGGTGATCGGCGAGGTGGGCAATTCCGAAGAAGAGCGGGCGCCAGCGGCTCGCTGTCGACGCCCGGCCCGCCAACTTCTGGTTCGGCACGCCTGCCGACGCGCGCCTGGCCACGGGCGCGCCGCCGGCGGCGGTCGAGCTGCCCGACGGCGCCAACCTGTGAATCGCCTCGGCGGACATCGCTTACACTGTCTACAGCGTGGCGCTGCCGCTCGCTTGGCGCCCATGCTTCGCTCTTCCACTGATAGACGCGTGGATGCTGGGGCGCGGTGACATGGGCAGCGGCGGTCCTGGCTGCTGTGGCCGCGATTCGCGGCGTTGCCCATGGGGTGGAGCCGCGCGCTGGCCGTCTGTCAGCGGGCGTCGGAGTCGGCGGCCGATCGGGCGGGGCCACTGCAGTCGGCGAGGATCGTGGACCGCCAGACCTGTCCAGGCCCGGGGGAAGGAGCGCGCCGCGAGCACGTTGGCAACTTCGCCTCGCTCTCGTCGGAACGCGACGCCACCGAGCGGATGAAGGGCGGTTCTCCTGTCCACGAAGAGGAGGAGGCCGCCCTCCATATGCAGCTGCTGGGCCGCGTGATCGACGGCGAGAGGGGCGCCGTGTTTCCGACGCCTGGGGGAGCCCGGCGCCTGATCCTCGCCGCGCGGGCGTCGCTGGCCATGCCGAAGGTTTCGGCCAGCAGGTGAGGCAGGTAGCGGGGCGCTACATTTTCCCTATCATGGTGAAGCGCCCGCCCCTGTCGGTCTTCTCGGCCGCGTGCCGCTTCATCGCCGAGGCGGGAGAGGCTCCGCGCGAGCGGCGGCCCAGCGCGCGCTGGGAGCTGCAGCGGGCCACGGGCGTCGCGCCGCTAGCCCAGGCGGGGACCTGCGCGCGGAATGGCCGGGCCGAGCCCCGCGCGCGGGCGCCCCCGAGCGGGGCCGAGGGGCGCGCGAGCGCGAATTAGGCAAAAGCGTGGCGCAGTAATTCGCGAGAGCTCAGGGGCACAGCCGTTTCCGAATTTCTACTGCTTGCCCCACGGGGGCGGCTCATCGCCATCTCGTAGCCAGTCGCGAGCCCCATCGACGTCGAGCCGCCGTCGAAACCCGCGGGCGGCCACTGCGCGGCGCTGCGCTGCCCCCCCACCCCCCCTCCCCCCCCTCCCGCGCTGAGGAAGTTGTCGGGGCCGCGCCGCAAGCGATTCCTGGCGCCGCCCACCTCCGCGGGGGTCTCCACGGGCGCGGGCTCGTTGGCCGCGGCGCCGCAGGAAGGCTCGCTCGTCATCGAGCGGGGCATCGCCTGGGGCCCCGACCGGGGCCCGGCCGCCCCGAGCGCGGCGAGGCCGCTGCGGGGCCGGCCGGGTGCAGGACTGATCTGGGGCCCGCGTGTCGGCGCGCCGTGTCAGACGTGGACCAGGGTCAGGGGCGCTAGCCGCTTGCGCGCACCAGGCGTTCCAGGCTCCTGGCCCAGCGGGCTGAGGTCCGACGGCGAGATCTGGGGTTTGGCGGCAGCGGCTCGCCCTTTGGACAGAGTTCAGATCACGCTGGCCAGCGAGCTCGTCAGATGTTGCGAGAAACTACGGGGCAGTTGCAGGCGCATGCAGATTACCTTCACTGTCGAGAACCCTGCTATGCGTAGACTTTTGGCTGTTTTTCTCGCTTCAGCGCTTGCGGATTATTGCCAGGACGGAACGCCGTGCAAGAAGCTTGCAGGTATTGTAGTGGCCTCCGGCCAGTGCCGCCGATCCGGGGCGCTCCTGATGCTATCTTGGCTGAAATGGACGATGACGACGACAACGGGCGACCAACGGTCGACGAGCGGGATAATTACGACGACGACCGACGAAGGAGTTAATGACGACGAACCGACGACGACGACGACGACGACGACCACTGACGGCGAACGGCTGCCGACGGCCGACGACCGACGACTGGCGACGGCGACGGGCGGAAGGTTCTTCGTTCATCGCTTTCGCTTCCGAGCAATGCCAAGTCAGGCCGTGCGTCTCTGGCCTGGCAGCACGCGAGTGAGCGCCTTTTGGGGCCTCTTGGTTATTGGGGCTTCTTGGGGGCCTTTGGGGCTTCTTGGGGGCCTCTCGGGGTCCTCTTGGGGGCCTCTTGGGGACCTCTTGGGGGCCTCTGGGGGCACCTTGGGGGCGCCTCGGGGGCATCTTGGGGGCTCCTGGGGTCATCTTGCGGTGGAGGACTAGAAGGGCCCGTTCGGGTTCACCCTCTTGAGGCCATCTTGGGGGCCTCTTCGGGTTCGTCTTGGGGGGACTCCAGGGCTATATTGGGGCCCTCTTGGACCGTCTTGGCTCCTCTTGGGGGCCTCTTGGGCTGTCTTGGGGCGACCTTGGGGGCCTCTTGGACCGTCTTCGGCGCTTCTAAGACGGAAAAGGCGATAATATTTCAATGTTTCAAAACTTATGAGCAACCTTATTATCGTACAGAGTGCTCATTTCTAATTCGTGTGCTGCACGTGGCCTCCGCCGCCCCTCCGGCGCGCTTCATTTCTAATTCGTGGCCGGAATTGCAAATGGCCAGACTTAGAAATGAACGCGCTTGTTAGGCCCCGGAGGCCCCAGGGCAAATGCACTCGCGCGCGCGCCCGAGTCTGAATTTGGGGCGCGCCATCCTCGATCGGGCACGCGTAGACGTGACGCGCGAATCCTTCGTTTCGCGCGCGCGTGACACGCAAAATCTGCGTGTCACACGGAGCGCGCCTGGGGCGGGACGCGCAGAATCCGGGGGGCGGACGCGCAAAATCTGCGCGTCGCACGCCGGGGGTCCGGGGGCCGGGGCGGGGACGCTCAGAATCTGCGTGTCACGCGGGCCCCATCAGGGGGGCGGTCGCGCAAAATCTGCGCGTCGCGCTCCAGGGGTCCTGGGGGCCAGGGTGGAGACATGCATAATCTGCGTGTCACGCGGGCCCAAAATCTACGCGTCGCACGCCGGGGGCCCGGGGGCCGGGGTGGGGGCGCGCAGAATCTGCGTGTCACGCGGGCCCCACCAGGGGAGCGGACGCGCAAAATCTGCGCGTCGCACGCCGGGGGTCCGGGGGCCGGGGCGGGGACGCGCAGAATCTGCGCGTCACCCGGGCCCCGGCAGGGGGGCGGACGCGCAAAATCTGCGCGTCGCGCGCCGGGGGCCCCGGGGGCCGGGGTCGGGACACGCAGAATCTGCGTGTCACGCGGGCCCCAGCAGGTGGGCGGACGCGCAAAATCGGCCCGTCGCACGCCGGGGGTCCGGGGGCCGGGGTGGGGACACGCAGAATCTGCGTGTCACGCGGGCTCCACCCCCACCAAGGGAGCGGGCGCGCAAAATCTGCGCGTCGCACGCCGGGGGCCCGCCGGGGGCCGGGGTGGGGACACGCAGAATATGCGTGTCACGCGGGCCCCGGCAGGTGGGCGGACATGCAAAATCTGCGCGTCGCGCGCCGGGTGTCCCGGGGGCCAGGGTCGGGACGCGCAGAATCTGCGTGTTCCGCGGGCCCCAGCAGGTGGGCGGACACGCAAAATCTGCGCGTCGCACGCCGGGGGTCCGGGAGCCAGGGTGGGGACACGCAGAATCTGGGTGTCACGCGGGCCCAAAATCTGCGCACGTGTCGCGCGCCGGGGGTCCAGGTGCCGGGGTGGGTGCACGCGGAATCCGCGTGTCACGCGGGCCCCATGCACCATGGGGGCGGACATGCAAAATCTGCGCGTCGCGCGCCGTGTGCCCCGGGGGCCGGGGTCGGGACACGCAGAATCTGCGTGTCACGCGGGCCCTAGCAGGTGGGGGCCAAGGGCCAGGGGCCGTGGCGCTCCCGGAGGTCCAGCGGCAGGGGCCAGGGCCGTGACATGCAGAATCTGCGTGTCACCTCGAGAACGCCGCGCAGGGGCACGCAGAATCTGCGTGTCACACGGGCTCAAAATCTGCATGTCGCATGCCGGAATCCGGGGGCTGGGGCGGGGGCACGCAGAATCTGCGTGTCACGCGGGCCCCACCACGGGAGCGGACACGCAAAGTCTGCGTGTCGCACGCCAGGGGCCCTGGGGGCCGGGGTGGGGACACGCAGAATCTGCGTGTCACGGGGGCCCAGAATCTGCGTGTCGCGCGCCGGGGGTCCGGGGGCCGGGGTGGGGACACGCCCGAGGGTTGCGCCGCATCGGGGTCGCGGGGGGCGCGCGAGGGCGCCCCCGCGCGCGGCGTTCTCGCAGGTGTTGGAATGTATTTGTGCCAACCCGCAAGGCGCGCGGAAATGGGCGCGCGCTCGGCTTCCGCTTGCCCGCCCGTGCCCACCCTGTGCCCAGCGGGGCGTGCTGCGCGCGGTGGATCGCGTGCACGGCGCTCTCGGCTTCCTTCCTAGGCTCTGTCCTGCCCGTGCCCACCCGTCCGGGGGGAGTGTCTGGCTCGCGCCTTGGGGCGCTCGCCTCGCTCGGTCCCACCCGTGCCCGCCCTCTTGGGGTGTGGGGCGTGGCTCGCGCTTGGGGGCGCTCGTCGGGTCGCGCGCTTTTGGGAAGCGCGTGGTGGTGGCGGCGCGACCGCTGGTCGCGCTCGGTCGTGCGGCGGGGCGGCAGGGCGCCGGCGCCGGATGCCGCCTTACCCCCGCGCGTCGTCGGCCCCGCAGGAGCGCGGGCCTCCCACCGAGCAGCCAGCGGCGCACCCGTCGTGTTCGCCCTATGTTGGTGCACGCGCCGCCGTAGCCGAGGCATTCATGAAGCTAGCGCAGGGGTAGTTGGGTTGGTGAAGGCCTGGCCTCCTTATGCTGAAGCAAACGCGCCTGGACCAGGAAATGCAGCCAGGATTACACCGGGGCCGACACACCCTTAACAGAACAGGCAAGGGCTTGGGTTTCATGACCTTCCAAACCTTGATGGCCCTGGGGGAGGCTGCAACCTGAATCTCTAGCGCCGCATGGGTCCCCAAGGTACAGGCACAAGGGGGCAAAAGCGGACGGCGGAGAGACATTTACAGGTAACCAGTGAGTATGGGGAGGACAGGGAAGAGGAAGAGGATGGAAAGGAGGAGGAGGACGGCGGACGGAATGAGGTTGCCGGAGGAGGAGGAGGAGGAGGAGGAGGAGGAGGAGGAGGAGGAGGAGGAGGAAAGGGATGTGCAACGGGGACCTTGGCATGTCGGGGACCATGGCCATGTGTGTCGGCCTCCCCGCTTGCCTGTACTGCTTGTTGGCGGACTCGGTGTGCGATGTGTGGTGCAGGGGCGGTCTCAAGTATATGAGCGAGGAGGCGATTGATCTCCCTCCTGGCCTTGCCCACTGGGGGCCTTTTGGGCCCGTTTCTGACGTAGGTCCGATGCCTCTCTGCACGTCCTGGGTGGCGGTCGGCGGGGACCCCTGAAGCCACAACAACCCTGCGTTTGTGTCGTGCTCCTTCTTTGTCGTCTCGCCATCCTAGAAGAGGCTGCGTATCATCGGCCTTCAGTCAGCGAGCGAGCGAGCGAGGAGGAGGAGGCAGGAGGAGGAGGCTGAGGATGAGGAGAAGGATGAGGAGGAGGGAAAGGAGGAGGAGTCTGTAGCCGTTTTGGCCCAAGGCTCAAACTCAGCTGTTGATCTGATCGCTCTCACTTGCGTCCTCAGTACCATGCTACCGACGCCACTTTCCTACAGCCCATCCAGCAACGATACCTTTGCTGTACAATTGAGCAAACAAGGCCGCCGATAGACACCAAACAATATGGCGAATACCACGACTCCCATATCCAGCACACTGGCCACCAACCTCAGAAGAATCCGCGACACCCACGGCCAGTACCCCCTCTTGGCCAGCTACAGCCGAAAATCTACATATAAAATCGACTAAGGTACATGTGCGCACACACTCGCAACAATGCCTCTTACATCATCCTACAAAACCTTGCGGAGCAGCTTGAAGATTGCAAATTTTTCTTACATGGCTAGGTAACAACCTCACATGGTGGTGGATTGTTGGCACCTGTCCTCTACGAGTATTCGGGGCAATCCTACAACAGCCGGGGTCGCAGCCCAATACTTGCAGGTTTTTTCTCCGGCGTGTGTTAGGGTAAGCCACGACAGCCCTATTGCAGCACCCACAGCGCACACTTGGGTCCCCACAGGGTGGGATGGGCGGGAGGCAACGGGGAACGTGGTTGGGACATTACTTTGCCGACGTTTTGAGGAGCACCTAAGTTGCACCCGCCGCCAGTACTAAACTACCACAGCCCAAGGGCACTCGGGTACTAAAAGACGTACCCCTTTTTTTCCTTACGCCACCTCTCCAATGTCACTTTCACTGTTGCGCTCTACACCCCACGTTGTCCGATCAGTGTTTCGACATACTGGTGGCACCTCTCTCCAGCCAAGGTTTTGGATGATCCTACAAAACCTTGTCTCACTAAGCGTGCTGCTGCTAATTTACCCTTGGCCCAGCAAGGACGGATTGCAGGGTCCCCCAACAGCGACATTCCGAGGAACACCGAAGGTGTGTTGTCTTGTGGTGTTCCCGTGGTTGTCCCGTGGTTGTGCCTTGGTGGCCCCTTGGTTGTCCCGTGGATGTCCGCTGCTTGTTCCGACGGTTGTCCCACGGTGGCCCCGTGGTTGCCCAATGAATGTCCAATGATTGTCCAACGATGGTCGTCCCGTCCGTAGACAGATGGCGGAATGTGTCGATAAACTATCATATTACTAGGCATGTCGATCGTCAGAAATTAAACCGATAGATCGCGTGACCAATAGGTCGAGCCGCCTGGACTGAGGAAAATGGGACCCACGAGAAAGGTGTGCCGATGTTTCTGGATGTGCGTAGCCGAGACTTATGGTCGTAACGTGAAGGGTACCAGCCCAGCTACGGTTCGTGTTGTACAAGACTCATTCTCGCCGCTTCCGGGAATACCCATGCGTGCCGGCACTTATGGCACCATGCGCTTCACGTCCATAGTACCGGTTGCAGGGTGATTCAGTTGACAGCAGTATTCCAGTTTCTGGGTTGCATGGTGCTTGCATGGGCGGCGATCTTGACCCGCAGAAACGCCTCGATTTTACTACGCTGGCGTTGAGCACCGCGATCGCCGTGGAGTTCCACGGGCATTGTTTGGTTTGCGCTTGCTAAGTTAAGCGTGAGACGCAGTCTCATCTCTAGTCCTGAAACATGTGGTGATTCCGTTTGATGCTCATCTCTGGCCTTCCATGCAGTGTTCTTCGACAGATTGGGTTTCGCCTCAAGCGGGTTCACCCCATCCATCTCCGACCGCCGTCCCGCCCCGTTTTGGTTGCCTCTGCCATCCGCCTCCTCATCCTTGGCGTCCTCTCCCTCTCCTCCTGCTGCGTTTCCATCCCGCTCGTCTTTCCCGTCATACCTGAATGTCACTCCTTCTCCCCATACTTGATTTTCCGACTCTCCCGCCCCCCCCCCCTTCGCATTCTTCAATGCCTCCGAAGAGCGCCCGGTCGCCCGAGGTGCACCCCGGGCAAAGTGTTGCGGGTTATTGGTACGCCCGCTGCATCGCCATCCTTTGCGAATGCAGACCCCTTCTCGCACGCAGTCTGGTCTCCTCGGTGCATTATTGGGTGTCGAAGCATCTCGCTGATGTTGGCCCGCTGTCTGGGTCACGAAGCTTGGAGGCGCGGCCCCACTGGGGAGGTCAGCCAGGTTGCAGGGGTGCCGGCAATGAGGATTCGCCGCGGTCCACCGTGCGTTCTGTGTGGAAGTGTTGTGCCAGTCTTTCTGGACCTGCCTCTGCGCAACTTGTTGCTATTCCCGCTGCAGGATGGAGACGGAGCTGGGTCGTGGGAGAGTGAAAAAGCGTGCTTGGGTTGCTCATGGGCGACACAGGCCATGTGCATAATGTCAGTTTCTTTTGCTGAGCCAGGCGCGTATCAAGCAGAGTTTGGGAGTATGTTGGATGGCATTGTTTCTCTTGGTGCGTTCCGCCCATGGCTAGTAACCTCATTCTTTTCGCATCCATATCATGGCAGCGCCACTCAAGGCCCATTGGCACATTGTAGTCACGTGTCTCAGCTATTATGGCATTGCTCAGTCTCAGTTTTCGTTTGTGTCTCAGCTCATCTTCGCCATCGTTCTCGTTTGCGATGGTCCTGCGGCAAGGTATGCGGCGAGAACGCCGTCTGTTGCCATGGCGATCAGGGGAAGCTGGGAATAGGCCAAGCATTTCATTCGCTCTGTGATCAACACTATGATCTTCTGGGCCATGTCCGATCGTGAGCCCCGCTTCTTTGATCGGTTCCATCGGGACCAGATCGGTCTAGCGGAGACGCCCATTATTGGATATTGGCATGGAGTCTTCAAGCCCCGATCCGAGAGTCTTTGATTCACACTCGTTGAGGGCCACGGGTCCCTGGCAGGGGCGGAAGAGGATGAGGCCGAGAAGGAAGAGAGCACGGAGCAGGAGGAATCTGAGTTGGGACGGTGAAGACAAGGATTGGGAGAAAAGAGGGAGGGGGGGAGGAGGAGGAGGAGGGGGAGGAGGAGGAGGAGGAGGAGGAGGAGGAGGACCAGGATCATCATATATTTGTAGGAGGGTAGTTCAATGGAAGGAGAAAGGGGGGATCACTAGCAGCAGCAAAATGAGCAGCTGGAGCAGCTGACTGAACAGGAGTCGACGAGGCGGAAAGGCATAAGGAGGAAGAGGAAGAGGAGTCTAACAAAACTTGGGCCCGTTGTCCTCATCTTCCCGCGGTATCGATCGTTACCAGGGTGAGGTGGGTGGCGAAGGAATGACGCGATGTGCGCCCAGAAGTGGCCAGGGACGCCGAAAACAAAGACACCTACTCGGTTATATATATATATATAACAGAGTGAGGGGCCCGAACGATCAGTCATTGTCCCTGGGTGCGTGGCTGAAATGGGGATCCGTGGTGGAGATTATGTTTGATGCGTTGCTGTTGTTGTTGATGATGCTGGTGATGATGATGTTGTTGTTGTTGTTGTTGTTGGTGGTGGTGTTGGTGTTTGTGTTGTTGTTAACCGTTAACCTCTAAACAATTCTGATTGTTGGACCCCCCCAGGCGCCTTGACGCTCTCGCCTCGGCGCCAGCTACACGTTCATTGAAAATGAGGCTCACGCTCGAGCGGTTTGGGGGAGCGCCAAAACTGGCCAGCCAACAACAACAATGCTCCCGTTCGAGACTCCCTCCTTTTTTACTCAGGGCTGGTGCTCTTGCTCGACGCCGAAAGCCGCCGTCCCAACAAAACCAGCGCTACCGCTCGAGACTTCCTCCCGTTTTACCTTGGACTGGCGCGCTGTTCTTTTCCTCATCGGCGCCGCCCCCAGCAACAACAACGCTCCCGCTCGAGTCTTCCTTCTTTTTTTACTCAAGGCGGTGCTCTTCCTCGCCGCCCAAAACCGCCGTCCCGACAACACCAGCGCTCCCGCTCGAGACTTCCTCCCGTTTTACGCTGGATACTTTGTTTCGAATTGGCGCCGCTCCCAGCAAGAACAACGCTCCCGCTCGAGGCTTCCTCTCCTCTTCCTCAGGACGGTGCTGTTCCTCGCCGCCGACAGCCGCCGTCCCGACAAAACCACAGGTCCCGTTCGAGGTTTCGTTTTGGTTGACGCTGGACTAGCGCCCTACTCTCTTCAGCATTGGCGCCGCTCCCAGCAATAACAGCGGCCCTGCTTGAGACTTCGTCCCTTTCTATTCAGGGCCAGGTCCTTGCCTCGCCGCCGACAGCCCCCATCCCCACCAAGGCAATCCTGTCGCTCGATACTTCCTTGTGCTTTACCCTTGGCTGGGGCTCCACTGGCGGCTTCGCATCGGCGCAGCAAGGCGCGGGCATGCGTTTTCGCGACTGGATCTGTTGAAATTTCTCGAAGGAGGTGTTTGCAAGACCTCGTTGGGCGGGAAATCTGGGAATTGGGATCACGGACCCCGCTATAGAACAATAGTTCCCCATGATTGGGATGGTTATCATGATGGTCGCATGCTTCATGTGGAAACATTGCGCATGAGGGTAAAATGATGGTTGTAGTTGAATTCTCACTTTTGAAGAATAACTATTGTTGATCCCCCTCACCGGTGCATATTGTTTTTTGCTCAATCAAAGTGTGCCCCTCGACGTTCGCACCCTGTCTTTTTGACAGGGAGAGTCTTGGTGCTCAAACTGAGCCCCTGGCCCCCCGGATTACAATAACAACGGCTCCCGCATGACCGCTCCAAATTTACCCAGGACCCTCGCTCCTGAGACTTCCTCACAATTTACTCAGGATTGATGCTCCCGCCTGTGACTTCGTCGCAATTTAGTCAGGACCCCCGCTCCCATCTGAGACTTCCTCACAATTTGCTCAGGAGCGGCGCTCCCGCTTGAGACTTCTTCGCAATTGAATCAAGATCGCCTTGCACTTTAATCAAGACCCCCGCTCCCGCCAGAGAACCATTCACATTTTATTCAGGAATTGCGCTCTCGCCTGTGACTTCCATGCAATTGATTCAAACATCGCGCATTCGACGCTCAGGAAACACGTTGCGCCAAGGACGCCGCTACAATTTACTTAGTATTCGCGCTTTCGCCATGCTCAGGCATCCCGCTTGAATGTCCCACCCGCCCGACCCGCCCGTCACGGGATCGCCCGCCCGTCGTGGGCTCCCGCCCGAGACTTCCTTCAGGAACCGCGCTTTCGCTTAGGACTTCCTCGAACGCTCACGCTCGTACCTTCCTGCTCCTCCTCCCTCTCCCTCCTCCCTCCTCCCTCCTCTCCTCCCTTCTCTCTCCTTCCTTTCTTCCCTCATCCTTATGCCTTTCTGCCCTATCCCCTCTCCCTCCTCTCCCTCCTCCCTTCTCCCTCCCCTCTCCTGCCTCCTCCCTCCCTCTTCCTTTCTCTCTCTCTCCCCTCTCTCTCTCTCTCTCTTATACTCTACCTCTCTTATATGGATTCCTCTCTCTCTCTTTCTCTTGTTATGTGTTTGTTTTGTTTGTTTGTTTTGCTATTTGTTCTCTCTCTCTCTCTCTTTCTCTCTGCCTCTAATCAACCGCCCCCCTCTTCGCTCCTCCTCTCCTGGCGTTTTCCCTCTTCCTTCGTTCCTACCCCTCCCTTCCTCCCACTCTCCCTCGTTCTACCCCTCCTTTTTTTTGCAGGGCCCACACCACGTCCAATGGCGGGCACATGTACGCCCACGAAGGATTGTCCGCCCGCTCAGGTTTGCCCGCCTGTCTAAGCCCGCCGCCCCCTGCAAAGAGAAATAACCCCCCCAAAGGGGGTATGATCAGGGCGGGTATCGAGGGTGTGGGGAATTCGTTTTGAATGACACGCGGGCAAGTAAGAGCGACCCGTCTTAGAATGATTGTTGCTGTTGGTGTTGTTGCTGTTGTTGCTGTTGTTGGTGGTGGTGGTGTTGTTGTTGCTTGTTGTCGTCGTCCCGCCCGCGACCCACCCGCGACCCACCTCGCGACCCACCCCGCGACTCACCCCGCGACTCACCCGCGACCCACCCGCGACCCACCCCGCGACCCACCCCGCGACCCCCCCGCGACCCCCCCGCGACCCAACCTGCGACCCACCCCGCGACGCACCCCGCGACCCACCCGCGACCCACCCCGCGACCCTCCCGCGACCCAGCCCGCGACCCACTCGCGACCCACCCGCGACCCACCCGCGACCCACCCGCGACCCAGACGCGATCCACACTCGACCCACACGCGACCCACCCCGGACCCCCCCACATTGGTTTAAAGAGAAAATCGGCGCCTCCGGCGGGCTCGTTGTATAATTGTGAAGTTTCGGCGCCTGCGGCGGGCTTCTCTAGAGTCTCCCAATTTGCTGACGTCCCCACCGCCCCCTCACTCTTATCCGCATCTGCGGGGTGCTACGTATCTCTTTTTATGCATGTCTGTATGTATGTATGTATGTATGTATGTATGTATGTATATATATATATAATATATATATATATATATATATATATATATATATATATATATACATACGTCGCACCCCGCAAATGCGGATAACAGTGTGTGGTCGGGCGCGGGCGACGCGGGCGTCGAGCCGGCGGACCTCGTGGCCCCCACGAATTCAAAAGAAGCTTGGAACGAATGCAAAAGAAGCCCGCCACTGGCGCCGAACATTTTGGGTGGGTCGCGGGGTGGGACGCGGGTGGGTCGCTGTTGGGTCGCGGTGGGTCGCGGGTGGGTCGCGGGTGGGTCGCGGGTGGGTCGCAGGGTGGGTCGCGGGTGTGTTTCGGGGTGGGTCGCCTGTGGGTCGTGCGTGGGTCGCCGATGCAACAGAAATCCGCCGCAAGCGCCGAAGTTTCGGCTTGTTAAGTGAACGTAGTTTGGGTCGCGGGTGGGTCGGGGGCTCCCCACCTCCACCTGGAAGGAATTCAAAAACAACCCGTCGCAGGCGCCAAAAGCATTTATTTAATACACTGAACGCGGTTTGGGTTGCGGGTGGGTCGCAGGTTCTCCACCTGGAAAGAGCTGGAACGAATGCAAAAAAAAAACCGCCGCCGGCGCCGAACATTTTGGGTGGGTCGCGGGGTGGGTCGCGGGTGGGTCGCGGGTGGGTCGCGGTGGGTCGCGGGTGGGTCGCGGGGTGGGTCGCGGGGCGGGTCGCGGGTTGGGTCGCCGGTGGGTCGCGGGTGGGTCGCCGGGGGGGTCTCGGGGTTGGTCGCGGGTGGGTCGCGGGTGGGTCGCGGGTGGGTCGCGGGTGGGTCGCGGGTGGGTCGCGGGCTGGGTCGCGGGGCGGGTCGCGGGTTGGGTCGCCGGTGGGTCGCGGGTGGGTCGCCGGGGGGGGTTCGGGGTGGGTCGCGGGTGGGTCGCGGGTGCTGAGATGAATGTCGGCTTTGTTAAAGGTTATGAGCTTTATAGCGAGTTGCTAAGGTTGTTACAACGTTCATACAACCCTCTCACAAATCAGCGACAAGCTGCTGTAGGTAGTAAGCTGGTTTATCATAGTTAGCTAAAGTCAGCATGGTTTTTATTAATTCAACATAAGATGTATAAATGTTTATCAGATGCTAAATAGTTTATGGCTTATGTTGGATAACTATGATAACTGTGACAACTCATTTATATCATGTTAACATAACTGCTTATGTTAGTTTAACATAGTTTTTTTGAGAAAATTGAAGTTCAAACAAATATGTTAAAGTAACATAAATTTTCGAATAGGCTAACACG